AACGCGTGGGCGGGTGAGGCACAAGCATCGGCTGACGCCCGTACCGGGCTTTTCCCTTAGGAAGACGCTTCCCCTGACAGAAAGGGACGTTCCGGCACTTCACTCCAAGGTGCGTGTGCCTTTTCTGTGCGTTACTTGTCTGTGTTTTGTCCGGTTTGCGCCGCCCTGCTGGCTTCGGTTTGCTCGCTGGGATCCAGGGGTTCTAGAAAGGCAGAACGAGCCCTGTGACGGCAGGCCGATGCTGGACAACTTGCCAGTGAACGGGCACGAGGGAGAAGGAAAACTATGGGATGAGATTTCTTTGCTTACAGAAGGATGGGTCGAAGAGCAGCAAATAGGATAAGAAACTGGACAAGATAAAAAGCTGGGTTTGTTTTCTTTATCCAAGGGGATGTTCAGAGTTGAAAAGACCTTCGCTCTTCACACCTATCTCGTTCCAGGCGCGTCCCCTGCCCCTTCGCGAGTCGCTGTTTCCCAGGCGGTTTACTCGGGCGGCAGCGTGCAGGTCTGGTCCGATTACCTCAATGTGCACTTGCATCCCAAGAGCATCTACGTCATCCATCAGTACATGCACGACGGGTATGTCCTAGAGGTTTGGTTCAGAATCTGTTGTCCAGAACGGATCTTAGTTTTGCCTTCAAGGAAAAATTAAGAGGGGATAAAATAAGCTTTTTTTTTTCCCCCCCCCTTTTTTTCCTTAGGGAGTGTGGTTGTCTAGAAGCCTTTGGACAAGGTGAAAAGCTCCTGCAGGATCCTGGCTGCATAGAGGAGTTGGAAGATCGGTTGCACTTCTATGTTGAAGAGTGTGATTATCTGCAGGTTTGACAGCTTAGTCCAAACTCCCTTTTCTTTCAGGAAACTTTCTGTTCAAGATTAAGTAGAGTCTCAGATGCTGCCATGGTTTTACGCAGGGATTTCAAGTCCTCTGTGACCTACACAATGGATTCTCTGGAGTTGGTGCCAAGGTGACAGAACTGCTCTACGATGAGTACTCAGGAAAAGGAATCCTGACCTGGGGCTTGACTCCAGTCGTGAGTAACGTGGGAGTAAGTGAACAATGGGAAAACACAAGAACAGGTGACGCGTTCATGCCCAGTCTGGATTAGACCCTTCCTTGTTTGCATCTTTAAGATTCTAACGGTTAAAAACCCCCCCCCAGGATTCTCAGAAGAATTTTTACAGACTGCTGAACACAGCCCTAGGAATTGTCCATCTCTCCAGTCACAGCTCGCTCTTCTGCCCGCTGTCGCTCAGTGGGAGTCTAGGAATCAAGCCACAACCTCCCGTTACATTTCCATTTATAAACTACGATGTACGTACTGAATAGTGCTTTACCTAGAAACACCTGCCTTGGTCGGCTTTCAGCTTTTTCAGATTTACCGCTCTCTACAAGTGTTTTCTCCAGCTGTGTATTTTTAGCAATGTTTTTTCATGATGGTGTTCTGCTAAGCAGAAAAGACTTTTTTTTTACTGCTTTTTCACTGTTAGCAGAGACTTAACTGCCAGCTTTCATTCCCATAGTTTCGTACTCTTAAAACTATTACCACATTTCCCTTTTTGCAGTCTTTCAGTTAGTGTACTGCCTTCAGTTTCGGCACTGAAGAAAAAGCGTGACTGCATTATTCGTCATGTGCGGAGTGTGTGACTCCAGCCTTGTCTGAGCACCAAGAAGCTGCTGACAAGAAAACTGGCAACAGATCATTTGTTAGCAGACAGCTGACGTGCTTATTCAAAACCTGAAATAGCTATTAAACACAACCTATATAAAAGCACAATTTACAGTATGCTTAAGTTAAATATACAAAAATTGGTTAAGGATTAAGATAAGGTTAAGGTGAATTCAACTTGTCCTGTAACTCTTCCGTTTGTCTCCCTCCATAGGCATCACTTAACTACCACAGTAGCGCGATTTTGGCAGCAGCACTCGATACCCTCACTGCTCCTTACCGGCTCTGTTCCTCTCAGGGCTCTATGATGGACCTTGCTGAAACACTTAACTTCTCCGGGAGAAAGGTAAGAGCAGAGAACAGCAACCTCTGATCCTCTCAGCTCTACCTGAACTACTGCTGTAGGCAGGAGCTGCTGTTCCACTTCACATCCAAAGACACGCAGGACATGGGGAGTGTGTTCTAGATCGTGATTTGTCCCCCCTCCTCCGACTCGTAGGTTGTGGCTGCGTGGGCTTCTGTTCCCTTTCCTGCCCTCCGTGGCTACTCGCTCCCCGACACTTTATGCACCTACCAGCAGGACGTGCCCTGGAAGCTTCTGTCTTCATGTAGGGAGCAAAAGGTCAGCTGCTGTTTTGCTCAGTCTGTTGTGCTACGAGGAATTTGCAAAGAAAGTCACATCAGGTAATTGGCAGTTGAGCTGCACCTTTCCCTTCAGAACTCTGGCACTCTCAACAGCAATGACTTCTTACAAAAGCCATTCACAATCCTCCCATTAGGAGTGTCAGTCTAGCGGTCTAGCCCGTTACATGCTACTAACTCTATAGCAAAACTGCTAAAAAGCAGCCGAGTCACTGACGCCTTCAGTCAAGTCCCCTGGAAAACCGTGGATTGGTTTTCTTTGCAGCAGCTGTCCAGGAAAGCAGCCCGCTTCTCTGCTCCATGCTTGCGAGAGCACCGAGGAGGTTCTGCAGCGTTACTTACACGCTCTGTTTCCTGGGGCATTCAGGTTGGTAACAGTCTGGTTTGGTTTTTTTTTTTAGAACAGGGAACACTAACTGGAAACTGAAGGTAGAGCGAATTCTGGATAACTTTATTCACCTTCTTCCTTACAGCACATCCCACGTGCTTGAGCAGCCATGTAATACCCTGCCTCCGTACCCCCAGTTTTTTTCTCCTCTTCTGACCAGACAAGGCTTCCTCCTGGACAAACCTCCCAGTTACTCCTCAGCAGGTACCAAATGCCCCTCAAGCTTACTTTGCAAGAGGAAGAGATCATGTGGGGGCAGTAGGGTCTAATGCCGGTAAAAGAGAATTATTAAAAAAAAACCCAACAAACCAACACTTTTGAGTGTTCGTAGGGCAAAAATTATGCATGTTAAGCAACTCTCATGCTACGCTGAGTTCAAGGAAAGCAACTGCTTGTAAAGTAGAATGGGGTAGGGAAACAAGTTTTGATAGGTATATTTGAACAAAGATGTTTTTCCCTGCAGCTGTTGAAAGCATCCCTGTACTAGCAGCCCTGCAGTCCTCCCCGGTTCTGCACACGCTCCTCTACAGCTTATACAAGGATCTCCAGAAGCTGAACACGCGGCGATGGGCCAGCTTTTTCTCTGCCGGAGTCGAACAGGATGACTTCCAGGAGGCCCTACAGGAGCTAAGAACTCTGTCACAGTGCTACGAGATGGGGTTTGGAGCAGATGGATCTGAAGATGAAGCAGACTCGGACTAACTCATCTTTATTACTAGAGATAGTGGAAGTAAGAATATCTTTAAGATCACTTTCAAAATAAAGGGAATGGCTTTAAAGATGGCCCAACTGCTACTTTCTTTTCATTTCAGCAACATCCTGTTGCAAAGGCTGGCTGAAGTTGTCCAGCTACTTGCAGTTGCGTTGTAAAGGAGGAAAGCTGCTTTTTTTGGAGCCGTGTGTGTGTGTGTGTTTGCAGTTTTAAAACAAAGTGAATTTGCTCTGCCTGTTAGAATAAGACCACACAATAAATACAGAATTCAGATTGTAACTTTCCCACATACAGTCAACACAAGGGGAAAACTTACAAAAAAAATCATGTGTTTGCTCCACATGAAAACAGACATCTTATGGTACAGTATTTACATGTTCTTGTCAAAGGCTGGTGGCCCAACCTTCACCATGGACCGAGATCGGCGTCCACCAGCATCACTCCTGTCATTTCATTGTTGAAGCTCCCCCCGCAGGTTCTAGAGGATGTTACCCCCCTCACACCTTTCTTCATTCCTTTAGTTTGATACAGATTGAGAAGTGCAGCTTGTCAGAAGTGTAGCAGGAAAGTGAACAAAAAAGGTGCTGTCTTAAGTACCTGTGCAAATATTTTTCCTTTATCCACAGCACCTGTCTAGCAGCAAACTGGCAAACAACTCTCCTTCTGATTCAGTCAGTAGCTTATCGAGCCAGAAAAACCTTAATCGTCAGGTTCTTCCTCAGAAAGCAGAAGATCTTTATCTGACAACTGGTCTGTGTTACTGGTACTAGTTGCATCCTCCTCATCTTCAGAGCTCCCGTCACAGGATGTATGAAACAGCTTCATCAGTTCTCTGAACCTGTGGGATACCTGAAGAACAAGGGAAATCCAAGATGACTAGTGACGTAAAAGTGGTATGAAACGGAAATTTCGTATTACAAAGTTCAGGGTGTTTGTGCTTCTACATTAAAACATGATTTTTTTTTTTTTAATGCAAGATTCAATCACAAAGGGAAGGAGAAATGGAAGAGCCCCGGTTGTTCTGTTTTCTTGGGTTGTTCTGTTTTCTTTGGAAGAACAGTTATATTCTCCTGACTTGCAGGTAAAAACTGGCAGTTTGGGAAGATTGCTAGGCAGCGATGTGGGGAAGGTTAAGAGACAAACCCCAGCAGATTCCTTGCAATTAAGCAGAAGGCTGAAGACCCAAGTAGCAGTCACTGAAACAATCCTGGTACCAAATATAAGGCTAGAATATCAATGGCACTGTTGTAAAAAGGACACGGCAGTCAGGATTTTTGCCTCCACCAGAACAGATAAGGGTTTTTTTTTTTTTTTTTTTATTTGCAATTGGGATGATTTTTCTCTGATGCAGCATCAAATTAAAGTTAAGTTTGGGAGACTAATAGACAGCAAACCTCCACCTTTCCTTCCTTTCCCCCCCCTTTCCCCATTCACTGTAGCAGATGCAAGCTTTTCCACACCAACCCCTCACCTCGCTAGCAGTCTTGTTGCCCAGTTTCTGCGAGATGGCATGGAAGGTTTCCAGATGGGCTCCTTTCTCCTGACAGGTGGTAAGGATGACCCTGTCAGCCTCCCTGCAAAACAGTACGGTAGTTATGAAAGCAGCCAAAACCAAGTGCTGACGTACTTCAACCACCACAAGCCCGAGGGGCCTGTTCCTGGGTAAGGATAACAATCACGGAGCAAGGCCAGCAGGCTTGTTCCTTTACTACTACTACCACCACCGATCACAAGACACATCTCTAAGCAGAGCTGCTTTTAGCCTATTTTTAAGCTTTTTGAAGGAGAAAAAAAAATTCTTTCCCAGCCTGAAGTACGACAACAATCACACTGCCACAAGCAGACAGCATTTCTCTAGGACCAAGATGGCAGCTATGACGGACTGCAGTTAGAGGAAACGAGGCAGGAACATTCAAAGGGAAGGGGCAGAAGACATTAGAAAATGGGAATACAAAATTAAAATAAAGGATACTCTATAATATGAAAGCTGAAGCCAAATACTGAATGCACGAAGGATGTAAGCTGCGGTTCAGGCAGATATACCTGGTCCAGAGGACAACCTTCTCCCCAGTCGAGCTGACTTTGCTGTTCTTGGCGCACACGGTTGCTTCTGTGACTCGGTGCTGTTGCTGCTCCTCTTCCTTTTGCCCCGGGGAGGCCGTAACCACTCTGTGTTCTAGCTGCTCGGAATGCTGATCCACCTGGAACCAGTTGTTTGCGTTTGACTTTAACCTGCTCTCAGGAAGATTTCCAGTATCATCTGCTTCCAAAACGCCATTATCAGGGGACTGTGAGCTGCAGCTCTTACCCAATGTTGGTTTTCTACCCGCTGTTATCCAACCCTGCTTTGCCTCAGGTTTTCCTTCCAGAGGCAAAGGTGGTCCCTCGAATTCTTTCACATCTAATTTTGAAGCATGACCAAAGACTGTGAGCTTATCTGATGAATCAGAATGAAGCCCTTCAGTCTGACATAAACTCTTTCCAGAAGAGGAACTAGGTCCCGTTAAACCTTTTACTGTAGCAGAACGAGAAGACAGCAGCAGATCTCTGCTCAGCCCAAGGGAAGCGTCTGCATTTCCTTGATGTTGCTGGTTTAGTCCCTTACTCTCACTTCCCACAGTGCAAGGGCAGTCTTTGGTTTCTTGAGGTAGTTTTAGAGTAGCTTTTTGTAGATGTGCCCATCTGGGGCCAGTGATAGAAGAGTCACTGTCCTTTGCAGTACTCACGACAGCACTGACACCTGCTTCGTGCACCCGATTATCAGGCAGCGCAGCTTTTTCGTAAGATGCATGTCTGCCGGAGACAATCTTTCCTTCCAGCTGAGATCCTGGTAAGAAACCCAAACAAGATTAGACTAGCTGTTAGTAAGAAAAACTTCTGGAGGCTTTATTCATTTACTTTTTAAGAGATTTTTTTTTTTTTTAATTCTAGAGCATAATGCTGTAAATGAAAACACAGTTTGGGAGCAGCTCTGTAATTCTATCCACAGTTTACCCATCCCGTACTTCAAAGGCGGCACTCTGCAGTCAATTTTCTTCACCATTGTGGGTTACTACAACCAGCTGCTGTGTGAAAAAGTGATGAACACATCAAAAAGCTTACGTGCATTGCCCAGAACAAAATTCTCAAGCGAGACAGACATTGCGGCTCTTGGCACCCTATTTACAAAAACCACTATAAACTAGACATCAGGTTGCATTACGTTTAAACCGCTATATTTGACCTGTGCGTTGTCTCCAACAGTAGCATTAACTGAGACATGGTTGCTGCAAGAAGGAAGAGATCTCTTTCAGGTTTATCCTGCAATAATCACGTTTCCGCTTGTCTGTACCAGACTGAAGGAGAAACAAGTAACATGAAGGAGATCATTTAAAGGAAGATTAGAGAGATGGTGATTTTGAATTGCTGTGCTAAAATGAAAACTGGAAAAAAACTATCATGGACTGGCAGTACTGGGACTCGGATCAGTATGCTAGCAAGAGAAGCTTAAATGGACTGGTCATTCTGAAAAGGGTCAGGAAAGCTTTTTTTGAAGGGAATGCTCTGGATATATGCATGTGTAGAGCATCCAGAGTGGGTAAACACAAGGAAAAAAATGAAAAAAGATTATTAGAAGTTCTCATTATCTCAATAAATTTGCATTAGAAAGTCCTGTACCTATTTTCATTTGTGTGAACCAGTTTGGAGATGAATGATACACCTGTCTGTACACAAGACTTTCACATACCTGAAGCCAGAGAATCCACTTTCCGAGATACATTTTTTGTTCTGCTCTGGACATCCTCTCCCTCATCTCTGTTCTCCAGGCTTTCTTCTGCGGGTTCCTTAGACATTCCAGAATCCTTCCCTTCAGGCCGAGGACTTGATTCTTGCTGCACAAGGCTCGCAGGCAGCTCTTGAGAATCTTTGTTTTTATAAAATTTGTTTTCACACACCTGCAAATCAATATACAGGCATACAGTTACAGATGGGGTATATCAATCCAAACCTAAACACCTCGGCCTTTGCTTCCAAAGTATTCCTTGACCCTAACAGCGGCTTCAGCTTGGCAATATATTTTCATTTAGAAAGCTGAATCTTTTTTATTATTACGAACAGACACAGCTCTTTTCACGTAGTGGCCACGCAAGCATCTTCCACTAAAAAAGCTTATTCTCAACTCAGAAGAATATCAAATTTGACGCTATTTAGCAGAGCAAGGAGGGGCAGTAGAAAGTGAGCAGGAGGTAGACAGGGGAAGGCCAAGTACTGCAGTCAGAGCTCCGAAGAGGGAGACACTACTGGTCATCTTTTGATTTACTTTCCTCCTCAACACATTATTTTGGAGACACGAGGCCCGAGGCTGGACAGATCATCACAACAGTGGGACTCTTGGCAGGACTCTACTTTCCACTCACCACTCCAGTGACTTGGCCTATCAACTAACCTTACTACTACAATGGCTGCAGGTCCTCCTTTTGCTTTTCTTTAGCTTGAGATCGCTACTCCCTTCATGGCAGGAACATGAACATTCCTTCATCCCATCTACCCACTCGACCTCCTGGAAACAGACATACTCCAGCTGACAAATGTGCACGGTACACAAAGATGACAGTCAGGGGAAGGTTAACCCCAGAGGGAGCCAGGAAGGGCTGAGTGGCACTCTGCGCACACTCAGAAGACTAAAGCGATTATGCTGCTAGCAAGCAAAGCACAATGGAAACATTTCAATCCCCTTTCTTCAAATCTTTAGGCTGTTGTCATGTCTCTCTGACACGTTTATCCTCACGGGCATGCATTTGCTCAGAGTCCAGATAGGCAGATTAGTGAGATACCCCAGGCCCACCTTGTCATTGTTCTGGCCTCCGATCTCCTTCCGCTTCTTATTTTTTGAGGCTGCATGCATCTTGGGTGGTTCATCCTCCTCTTCTACATCTGGCAAAGACACCTCTTCAAACCCATCAAACTACAAAAGAAGAAACACACAAAAACTGCTCTATCATGATAGCTCTTCAGCAGACCAAACTTCATTTTCCCCATGAATTTCTGAATATTGAGCTCAGTTCCAGGACATCACAAGTTCAAT